GCTGTCCCTGATGTGTGCTACTCCTCTGGCAAGGGCCAAAACTTCGTGTCCATAATTAAACTTCCCACATGATTACCAGCAAGTGCCAAGCCTTGACACTGTGTTATTAAATGGTATATATACAGCCCTAGATGCTGCTGCAAGGGACCGGTAAGTGCTTGAGTGCTTAGTTTCTCCATGTACACTTTTTTATTCAAGCTAATTGTTTAAGGCTTTTTTTTCTTTTTCTAAAGAATACAGAAAAAGAAAAAAATCCTTTTAAACCTGGTATATAAGCCACCTAAGTTCACATGTAATCTTCTAGTGTCCTGATTTCCTGATGTGTTTAACTCCACAGCACTTTCTAAAGAACTTTTAAGTACCCATGTTCGTTCCAGTCCATCACCGGACTCAAGCTCCCTTACTCATTCCCATTCAGCATGTTTGAAAATCATATGATTTTTATTTTAGAAACTAAATAGCAAACCAGAACTTCATAGATTTGAATATTTTGATCACAGCTGTCTGTCTTGAAAAGCTTCTGACAATAACATTGCTAGTATTTAATTCTGCTGAATTATCAAACTGACAAATAATTCTCTCTTTTCACTTGTCCATGCCAAAGTGTTGATTTTTTAGTAGGAAATACAGAAACAACTGAGCTAATTATAGCCATGTTTAATGTTTATTAACTAAATATGAGATTTAAATTTTATTGTACTTTGAAAATCGTAATCTTATTGAATAGAAAGCTTCTAGAAAAGGTTTTGCAGGCAGGAATGATTAGAAGAATTTAAAGTTTAAAAAAACCTCACCATCCTTTTAATGTGATCTCTACATTAATCTTGCCATTGTTGTAGTATGGCTATAACTATAAAAGCATGTCTAGAGAAAGTGAAAATATTACGCATTTACAATACCAGGTAAACTGAAATGTTCTAATTTTTGCATGTATGTGAATATATTAATTCCTCTTGTAGTTCCAGTTTAATATAGTGATTTTTTTCCTCACTTAAACTGTTATGTGGATCTCTGCATCGTGAGACTATACTCAACCTCAAAAGTGGCTGCATTCTGATGGTGAATGAAACAAGTCATTACACAGTTCAGTGTGTTAAAGTGCTCTGAGACCCTTTGGGAGAAAGTATTATATATATGTGTACCAGAGGTATTATTTCAAGGCAACAACTCTGCCAAATGTTCAACTGAGACTGAAGCCTTACAGCTGAGTTGTTAACCTCTGGAAACAGGAGTTGAAACTGCATGTGCTGACCTAACCTTACCTCCAGGGGAGCAAATGGTAATAATGAAAAATTATGCAGCTTTCACCTCTTCTCTAAAGACAAAACAAACATTTTAAGCTTCATTTTATGCTCTTTTTCTCCACTTAATTGAGGCATGCTTGTTGGCAAAATAATAATTCTTGTGCTTAGTAAGCAGTATTTCAACCTTCTGACTCCCATTCAGCAGGAAAATCATGAAGGCAGGTTGCTTTCATCCTTGCTTTGTAAGCAGAAAAGAATTCATCTCTTGGCCTTCTCAGAGCCTGCGTCAAAGAATAAAACAAACATACAAGGTACTGATGCCGGATACCCAATAGGTTCCAGCATATAAAAACACAGAAACAAGCAAGGTGAGGAAAAGTGATCAGAGGTAAAAGATGACATGAAAATTATTGAAGATACATCATCTTTGGTTGTTATCTTTAAAGAGGAGAAAAAGAGAAAATACTCTACAATTATTTAGTAGGTCATAAGAGAAAGAGCAAAACAAAACTTGTCATCCTTTCTCAGGCAGGGAGAACAGGAGAGCCTGTTCTGCTCCATTTATAACAAATCTGTACAAACTCTTGGAGGTAATTGTCACAAAGCAGCCTCATGGGGTGGACTGCATTTATTCATCAGAAGAGGTTATCACTGCATGTAACAAATGCTTTATTTCTTCTTCTCTCCATATCTGACTTACAAATTGAATGTGAGAGTCTGCTTGCAACTTCCAATAAGAGGGTCTTAACTACTGATTGCTGAAATATAGTAAGATATGGCAAGGAAAATATTACTCAAATAATAGTATTTATCATGTTACACTCTCCCCTGAGCTTCCTCTTCTGGAAGGAAATGGATAGGTTAGTAAAAAGAAAATATGATAACTTTTATGCTATGAAATCAGTTAAAATAGAAAATAAAGCAAATAAATGCAAAATAATCATTACTGCACCATTTACATATTCTGTAATCCTACCATGTTCACAGAGATGCTACACAGAAAAGCATCATTCCCTTTCCCATCCCATCTTCTTCATTAGCTTCAGGTCATGAATCTCTTCACCTGCCCCTTTGCGAGTAAATTAGATCTTTCCCACTGCGTCTTAGCTAATTGCTAATACAATCCAGCTGTTTTTTACTGCCTTATTTATTTATTTATTTATTTATTTATTTATTTATTTTCCTTCCACAAAAGACACAGAAAGACGTGGACATAGATTAAAAAAGAATGCCTCTAGCCACAAAAAGACAAAAAGGATAGAAGAAAAGACGAGCAATCCCACGCACTCCTTTCCTGCCACTTTTGCTTTTTCATTCACCACCAATAACATCCCTTTCTGCTGTCAGCCCCTCAACCTGTCCCACTGCCAGTGGGGAAAGCTGGGGTAGGACTTCTTCACCATTTAGCTCTAGAGAGTGACAAAGTGCAGTTTTATGACTTGTGCAGCTATCAGAGGACTTCAGAGTGAGAAGAAAAACCCACAGCAGAGATTTAAAGAACTGTGCCTTTTCATCACTTTTGGGGTGGGGAGATTTGAGCTTGCCTGGTTACTCATTTACCAGGGTTTGCTTACCAAATATAATGTTCCCTGGTTAAGGGGACACCATCTGGGCAACAGAGAGGAAGTTCAGCCCCAGAAGCTGGTCAGTAGTTCCTGTCACCAGCCCTCAGTATGGCTGTTTCTCAGATGCCTGTATCCATGTGTCATAACAAGTCACAGAAGCAAACTATGGTTTGCAAATTTCATGTCTCAAAAAGCTGAAGTGTCTAAGACCAGACATAGTTGGTCCCTGGAACATCTCTACTGCAGTACTTTCAATCTGATTTGAAGATAAGGGTACATACTGAGAGGATGGTAAGTTTTGACAGCTCTCCATTTACCACAAATATTTGGGATCCAGTAACCTAAAGTGATCTCTCAGCTTCAGCCTGTTTTCTCCCAGAACTTAAAAAAAAAAAAAAAAAAAAAAAAACAAAAAAAAAAACAGACTTCTTGCTGGTGTGTTCACTCTGTCCTGCTCCTATGTCAGCACTCCATCAGAAAGCAAACACAAGTCCTTTGTGAATTATAACACAATGTCACCATGATTTCACAAAGCTCTTAGCATCTTCTTTCCATAACTGAGGGCATACTCAAAAGTAAATAGTAAACTAGGGCAATTGGATTCTTGTTAATAAAATGTTTCATAAACCACATAGATCATCCAGATGAGTGGACTTTCTTGTCCTGTCAGGAAAAGACGACAAGAGGAAAAAAATAAAATAAAATAAAATAAAATAAAATAAAATAAAATAAAATAAAATAAAATAAAATAAAATAAAATAAAATAAAATAAAATAAAAAAGTCTAGTGACTTTTCAAACTCTTTGACAAAAAGTTTGGGTAAAGTTTAGATTTTTGCATATATTTTACTCCTTTATTGTATTTCATCAATCAAACCTGTTTTTCAAATTAACCATAATTACAATTAAATGGAGGTACCAGTATGGTGTTCTGTTGACTTAAGAAAATTGCTTATTTTTATGTTATGGACAGGCAAAAATCACAATCAGTATCAATTAGAACACTTTTTATTAATTAAACCGTGATTGTTAATAGAATCAAGCTGTTATTGTCAACAGCAAATAACTGTCTCTGCAGTAAATTCACTTACTCCAGCTGTGTCCAGAGACAGAAGCAGTGGCTTATTCTGACATGCCAATGGCATCTTCAGAAAGTCCCCAAGAGTCCCTTTTCCCACCAGGCATGCTTGTAGCCCTGAAGTCTTTTATTTTTTTGCAAAGAACAGCCACTGCTTCACCACACAAAGTCCAAGTTGTGCAGCCCCTTGCTGGTGCCCGTATATGCTGGTGGCCTCCTACACTTTTGTCTGGGCTTCAGTGTTCTGAGTTTCTCCATTCTTGGGGATCTGGTGGGACTGCTGATTTCTGGGAGTACTCATTTCTTTGGAGACCTCCCAGCACGTTACCTTTCCTCTCTTTGGCCTACTGTTTTCTGGTAACTGTATCTCTACTCACACACATGGATGACCAAAGCACATTGTCATGGTTTAGTAGGTAATATTGGTGGTAGGAGGATGGTTGGAGCAGATGATCTTGGAGGTCTTTTCCAACCTTAATGATTCTATGATTCTCACACAGAAGGGGCTGTTCTAGCACCCTGAGCTCCCAGGCCACAGCAGAGCTTCCTCTGCACAAAACACTGATGCTTATTTATTTGTACTTACATATATGGTACACATGTAGGAAACATAAAACATGCTTATGTGATAAGAAACATTTTAAAGCTTTGAGTCTTGCATTTAGTAATATCTACAGGTGGTGACTGTAAAAGTTTTACATGATCCCACAAGAATATCCAATGCATTCTGTATATTATCCCTCCACAATGTTTGCTAAAAAGGAAAAGGAAATTAAAAAGAAAGAAAGAAAGAAAGAAAGAAAGAAAGAAAGAAAGAAAGAAAAGAAAAAGAAGAAAAATAAAGAAAAAGACTCATTTATGTTTTGTGGCCAAGCTGAATCATCAAGCAGAAGAAAAGTTTACCTTTATTTCAATTTTATAGTTTATGTTACTTTTATCTGGGAACATAAATAACACTAGCTTAAATAATAATAACAATAAAAACAAATTATCTGAGGTGATACATTTTCACATTGCTCTCCACCATTTTGCCACCATGGAAAATCAGCCATCCTGTCAATATCTTTACATTACTGCTAAGACAGAAGACCAGAAATAGATTTTTCATATGTAATACATTTATGAAACTGGCTTTATTGGAATAAGATACTTCAAATCCCAGTGGTTAGCAAGATGCAGAACCTTAAAATATTCACTGTTTTGAGGTGGATTATTAGCTATATTGATCTTCACTTCAGTAAGCTTTTGGTTAAAAAAATCTGCATTTCAGGAAAGTAAACCCCAAATCTTCTAAAAGATAGACACTGTTTTATTTCTGAAGAATAATTTCATTGTTGTTTTTAATAGTGTTATGTTTGTTTGTTTTAATTGGTGCCAAAGGAGGGATAAAAATTTAATTGATTTCAATATGACAGTTCATTGAAGCTACACAGAAGCTGAAATATCAGAAGTAAGCATGGCAGTAAAATAGTGATCATTATTAAGCAGATCTAATTTAGTCAAAACCAAAGTCTTCATGATTTTTTCTACAGTTATAGCAGGAAATCACTATGAATTTATGGTGTCAAGCTATGTCAGATCCACAGTATTTTAAATGTGTCAGGAATTGTAAAATCTTTAAGTGTTGCTCCAGCTTGCTAAGGATCTGTGATCAGGAAGATTTCTCCCCTTCTCTTTGCTGCTCAATTCTTCTGGCAGTTTCCACAGTAGGAATCTTTAAGAAAACTCAGAAATGCCACAAGCTACATTAAAAAAAAAAAAAAAAAAAAAAAAAAAAAAAGCAACATCTTTACTAACTCTGTTCCCATCTCTTTCTTTGCTTTAAGATATGATCATATTTCTTTTGGCTGTGTTCAAAGATTGGAAATGTGAAAAAAATCTGCTTGCAGAAACATTGTCAGAAAAGGCATATGTTGCATAGATCCCTAAAAACACTTCCAGTTACCCAAAGACAGGCAGTGCCTGCTGGGGACATATGTGTCTCAGGAATTCTCATATCCTCATACCTTAACCATACATAGCTACTGTAGTAACCCTGAACACTTAATAGCTGCTAAGCTCCAGAGCTCAAGACGATGTCCAAAACAGAAAGTTAAATGTGTTCTTAGTACCATAAAGAGGTTGGAGAGAGTAAAGATATATTGAAATTGTTTTTTCTCTTTCACTTCATCTGAGCTAAGATTTTGGTTATATGGACTGATGTGTTCTGCAGTCACACTGCTAGAGTTATCTAATTCCTCAGACAGCCAAGTTGTACTGCGGGAGACCTATAGTATGGCATCAAACTGATTGCTGGTAAAATGGGCTGTAAATTGTAAATATCAACCTTTCATGCTGGTTTTACACTTTGACAAGAGCTGAGATAATACATCTGAAATAAAATGTTTCTCCTTTTGCACTTGAGCTTTTTCAGTTTGTAAAAGCCTAGTACTTTTCAGGTCATATATCCTGCTCACTAAAGTGAGATATTTACTAATTTAGAAGGTGTTATCAAAAATAGTAAGAAATAAGAAATGAAGGAGATAGCAAAATAGTGAGACCTTTCCTGACATAATAATCTCTCAGGTTTTGACCCAGTAGAAAGTATTCTCTGCCTAATCTTGAGTGTGCTGGCAAAAGTTCCAAATAAGATATCAGGAAAGGCAAACATATTTTGGTGGTGGAAGAGATTGTGTTAACCTATCACCTTGTAATTTACTGAAATGCTTACTTTACTTGAAATGATTCTTCCTTAAAAGCCACAGTGAGTTTTGTCTACTATCTAGAGAGGGGGGCAGAGAGTCAAAAACTGATACCTTGGCATTCTCATCTAACAGACTGGAATTAAGCTGCAGGTATGATGTGGTCCAAGATTCTACTTCCATGTTCTCTTTGCATAAGATTTACCTATTGCTTAACTTGGATGCTAATAAATGCATTTAATCATGTCTGAGTAAATGATCGTTGTACTGTGTAAACAGTCAATTAGCTTCTGTAAGGTATTTTGAGATCCCTAGGGAAAAAGCACTATCACAAACAAAATGAAGACAATAGATTTCAATAAAATATTAATCAGTGCCTGTGATGATGACATTCTGTCACAAAAAATGCTTACTTTTCTGTGCCATAGACAGTATTCAGACAAGTAAAGAGTACAGCTTTTCACAACAGAATTCCTCAATTGTCAAATGTTTGTCTTGATTTCAAACATTTTTCTTATTATAATTGACATGAGCAGCCTTTTCCTTTTTCTGCTTAGTTGTTAGCAGGTGTCATGGTGCTGTAGTATGAAAAACTAAAAGCTAAACGTCATATTTTAAATATATGTGTACCCCAAATTTGTTGAAAATTATGCTGATATAAAAACACTAATCCAGAGGGCAAATTTGATGCAGATTCTACATAGAGACAATGACAATGATGACTGCTGATATTAAAAGAAGTTCTGCAGGAAATAATTTTGATAAGTCACTTGTGGATGCAGTATCCTGGATGCAAATATCTTTTGGGCATCACCAGTCTGATGGATGAGGGGAGATCAGTATATATTGTCTTCCCAAACTTCAGTAAGGCCTTTAATACTGCTCCCTGTAAGAACCTTATGGAGAAGCTGCTGAAGTATGGGCTGGACGAGCAGGCAGTGAGGTGGACTGAAAACTGTCTGAATGGACGGACCCAGAGGATAGTGTTCAGTGGTGCAAAGTCCAGTGGGAGACCAGTAATGAGCAGAGTATCCCAGGCATCAATACTTGTTCCAGTACTGTTTGACATCTTTGTTAATGATCTAGATGATGGGGTAGAGTGCATCCTCAGAAAATTAGCAGATAACACAAAACTGGGGGGAGTGGCTGATTCACCAGAGGGCCAGGCTGCCATCCAGTATGACCTTATCAGGCTGGAGAGGTGGGCTGACAGAAAACTCTTGAGGTTCAGCAAGGAGAAGTGCAAAGTTCTGCACTTAGGGAGGAACAATCCCACACACTATACTGGGGGCCACCCAGTTGGAAAGCAACTCTACAGAAAAGGACCTGGGGCTCCTGGTGGATGCCAAGTTGAATGTGAGGTAGCAATGTGGCCTTACTACTAGGAAGGCTAACAGTATTCTTGGCTACATAAGGCAAAGTATCACCAGAAGGTCAAGAGAAGTGATGTTTTCTATATACTGTGCTGATGAGGCCACACTTGAAGTCCTGGGTCCAGTTCTGGGTACCTCCGTACAAGAGAGACATGTACTGGATAAAGTCCCATGGAATGAAGGTGATTAAGGGACTGGAACAGCTCTCCCATGAGGAGAAGCTGAAAGAGCAGTTCAGACTGGAGAAGAGGAGGCTTGGGAGGAATGCTATCAATGTCTATAAATACCTTAAGGGAGGTACAAATTGGACAGAGCCAGGCTCTTTTCAGTGGTGTCCTGTGCCAGGACAAGAGGCAATGGACACAAACTGTCACACATAAGGCTCCCTCTGAACACCAGATGCACTTACCAGTGATGGAGCACTGTCACATGCTGTCCAGAGAGGCTGTGGAGTCTCCCTCCTTGGAGATCTTCAACAGCTGCCTGGACATGGTCTTGGGCAAGCAGATCTAGCTGTCCCTGCTTGAACAGAGGGGTTGGACATCTAGAGGTCCCTTCCGACCTCAACCATTCTGTGTTTCTGTGATTAAAGTACACTGGGTACACACACCATAGCCATCTGAACAGCACTAAGAATATTAGATCTGGAATTCTTCTGAATAAATTGTTGTTTTCTAGAGCTTTTTTCTTTTCTTTTTTTTTTATCAAAACTGTGTTAATATACATTCTAACTTACTATTTTAGGTAACAGAGAATAAAAGCCTCAGAGCTATACTGAATATATCATGGCAGTACTCATGTGGTGTATTTATTCCTTTAAAATACATTTGAACAATAATTCTATACAGTTAGAGGGACTGTCTAAAGTTAAGACAGAAAAAATGTTATTTGTTTGACTTCTTGCATGAAACTAGAATATGCAAAAATGTTTTTGTCTGAAGTTTTTTACATGAGAACTATGTTCAATATATACAGGTCCCATATTTCTGTGCAGGATTTTCAAGACATTGATCAGTTCACATAGTTTCACCCTCCAAACTAATGTCTGTTTCCCACTTTAGCATTTTCTTTCTTGAAAAATTAGAATATGCTGAAATTTTGCAAGCCAAAGCACTTCTTTTTTGTCTTAATTAGAAACTGTAGGATTAGCTGCCTGAATATAAAACCATTAGGAGATGATAATGTCTTGATTACAAGCACTTAAGCTCCTATATGCATACACGTTCATCAGAGATTTTAGAAAATGCATGAAATTTTGGAACAGTTGCTGGTTCATCATGATAATATTAAAGATATAAAAAATAATAATTAAAAAAACTGAGATTTGCAGTATTTATTATGTGAATTTAAAATCATATTTTACCTTTATTATTAACATGTGTGATATGCATATATCTACTTATACCTTGAGGAAATTTCCAGTCTTTTGTCTTAGAGTACAGTGCACTTTCTGCTCTTCATTCTCTATAGCTCGTGTCCATCTTCTTGTTAACTTGGTTCACTTATCACCAAAGGAGTTGGCTCCATTCTTGGGTCTTCAAAGAGAGAGCTTGTCTTTCCAGAATCTGGACTGTCACTCTTCCTCTCCATTCCCAACACCTTAAGGTTCTGGTGGAGCGTCAAAGAGCTGTTGCTACATATTTGGTATTTTCTTTGGCATTGTTCTGCACTGGAAAACAATTCTAATCAGACTATGAAGAACATCCATGACTAAATGTATGACAATAGATCATTAACCACAAAAATCACAAGGGAATAGTGAAGTTCAGTGCCCCACCTTGGTTCATTTAATCATTATTAGGCTGCAAGAGCCAAGTGTTTGAGCTCCTCTGGATTCCAGATTAGATATATTTCTGGCCCTTAGCTTTCACCTTGTGGATTTTGGTCACAGACATTCTCTGTCTGCAGTTTTCTAACAAAATGGGCAACCATTCACAAACTGTCTTGCCTCAGCAGTGCATCTCTATTTATATAAGGTATACCTAGAGAAAAAATACATAATGAATTATTATGCGGAGACATTTATCTTTGCAACAGTGACAAGGATAACAAAAGCAGTGTATAGTAGCCATGAAGATAAATAACACAGCATTTAACATGTATAAAATATTCCTGGTACTCTAGGTTCCATTTCATTATTAGATTTTTTAAAAGAACGATTTTCTTGGTTAGCTTCCAGACCTAGCAGTCACAGAGGCTAATTTCAAATTGCTTGAAACCTTGGAAACAAAGATGTATTTGTGAAAACATTGGCTTAAACGCCAATAAAAATGTGAGCAGGACCCACCCAGCCGTGTAAATAAATGATACACAAGTGACTTTTTCTCCTCACAAACTCCCATCTCCCCCAAATTTTCAAAGTTTTCTGTCATGCACCAGCATTTATAGGCTGGTTTTCAAAACAGCAAAAGTATTAGGCAGGAAAAAAATAATATCTATATAGATAAACAGATAATTTTCTGTAGTGAGCAGTTTCTTATGATCAGTGTGTGAGGTCCTTCCTCTTCACCTATTTCTGCCCAGATCTCACCTGGAGTAATTTGTGTTGAACATTTCTAGAAGGATGTGGAGGGAAAAAGAAACAAACAAACAAACAAACAAAAGTAAAAAGATCAGCAGGACTTATTAGGTATTTAGGTATTAAAAGTTGAATTAATTTGGGTTGTCTCACCAAAAGAAAAAAAGTATGGAAGGAGAACATGGCAGCTAATAGTACACAACATTTCATATCAAGAGAGAGATTAAATATTCTTCATGTTCACAATAAATAGGGGAACCTTAAAAGACAGTGAAGAAGGTTCATGTTAGATACCAGAAACTGTATCTTGTGCAGCATATGCTAGGTGACCCTGCTTGGCAGGGCAGTTGGACCAGATGATCTCCAGGGGTCCCTTCCAACCTCAAACATTCTGTGATTGTGTGAAAACCTTTGTAATGTAAAGGTTACTGGGATGGTTTACTGGAAATGCTGTGGAATTTGCACAGCCTGATGTGAATGTTTATCTAGAGATATCACAATTGCAGTTAACTCTGCTTTGGAACAGGGAGATAGACCATGAAACCTGAAACTCTCAGACCAAGGATTTTGTGATGTGTTAAAAAACACTGCATAATAAATATCTGCCTATATATATAAAGCAGTACAAGCATAAAATTAATCATTATCAGCACTGCTGAATAGCAATGCATCTTATCCTATAGTTGTTATCTTCCTTTCAGATGATGGTACCTGCTGGCAGTAGTATGATAAATTTATCATACTTATCCTAGTTAGAGACAACTGAGCTATTTTAACGTTAATCCAGTATGTAGACTTTAGATCTTTTACAGTAGAGTTCAAGCCCTTGTTTTGCAGCAGAACCTGTTATTTCAGTTGATCGTTTGCTCTCCCTGAACCCCAGTTTTTCATTGTAAAATGAGGACAAAATCACTTCCAGACCTTAATTATAATTGAAAGAATATGTGGAATGAAGAAGTGAAACCAGGTGCTTCCAGAGGTGGCCAGACACTTTCCTTGGACAAACCAACTCCCTGGGAAAAGGTAGGAGCAAAACAATGAACGTCTTAAGACTGGAGTCCTAAATACCTAATAAACTGTATTTTTATTTTTTTATTTGGGCTGGTGGTTTGTTGTTTCTTTTGAGAGTATTTCTTCAATTTTCTAACATGACATAACTCTGGAACTGTAGCAACAAAATAAGGACTTATTCCAGATAAGAAAATTTGAAGGATGCCTAATCTCTTTGCTTCCGGCAGATGAAATAAATGGTATCTATTAGTGTAGTAGTAAACTGCTTCTGTTAATCAAGAAGCATAAGATGGAGCTGGAATGATTTGTACATATCATCAGAAATAAAAGGCCAGCCTTAGCCTATGTATCATTTCATTACATTTTAACAATTTCCCAGACAAACCAAACGTTATGTTCTCATTTTATGGGTAGCATTATAATGAAGATTAGTTATTTTAATTTTGGGACAGTAAGCTTGAGAGATACAAAAAATTATTGAACCCTAAAAATGTTTTGTGGACTAAATGACTCTAATGGCCGTTAATTTGCTGTGAATAATTATTTTCAGCCAAATATAAGTGGGTTTATGACTGCATAATTTGTATGCTCTTTTCCAGTGAGGTGGATGAGAATTTAGGAACAGCATGGAATAAAACCAAAGATTTGATGCCTCTAAGGAAAAGCCTTCCTCAGATGGTCAGAACTACATATCTAAAAGTTTCAGACTGGCTCTTTACTTGTGATTGTTCAGCATGCAAGCTTGCCAAGCTGAAGTGCAAGCTTTCCACCTAGAAAAGAAATTATAACAACCTATTAATTCCTCAAGTTCATTCATCTCAAAGTGCAAGTGTAAGAACTGGACCTATCTCCCCCAAGGGAGGAGACTGAATCAGGAACTACACTCAGACTGAATTTGATCTGATCTGAAAGGTGATTTAAGTGCAGCACTCTGTACAGGTGAGTGTTTCCTTTGTAAGTCTTCCCCTTGGTGCTTCTGTGCACAATACTCTCTGACAGAGTTTCTCAGTTTAGTCTGCTGACCTGTGAGCTGAAAGTGGCCCTCTTCTTTCTTTCTAGAAGTGTAAAATGTCAGCTATTTGAGGATTTGTAGCCATAAAGCATTTTTTATACTGTTCGTTTTTTCTCACTTATGGTTGAAGGAAGTGGCATATGTATCTTTAACTAGGAGCTATAAAATCTATAAAAAGACAGAAGGCTTAACATTTTAGCTGAAATACAGTGAACGAAGAATCTGTCATAAGACCCTTATTAAGAGCTTGATATATTTTTCTAATACAGGATCATTAATAAGGTAAAATATGTCTGTTCATGAAGATTTGATCCAAAAGCAAAACACAATATTTTTAATAACTCCACTTGTTTCATCAGAGCCCTCCCCCAGACCAGAACATATTTTCCCCAGGACATTCTCCAGACTTAAGAAAAGAAAAGAAAAGAAAAGAAAAGAAAAGAAAAGAAAAGAAAAGAAAAGAAAAGAAAAGAAAAGAAAAGAAAAGAAAAGAAAAGAAAAGAAAAGAAAAGAAAAGAAAAGAAAAGAAAAGAAAAGAAAAGAAAAGAAAAGAAAAGAAAAGAAAAGAAAAGAAAAGAAAAGAAACATTTCCATTTGACTGAAAAATTTAGATCTCAGTCTGGTTTTGAAGGGTTTTGAAGGATTTACCTTCATGGTTATCATATAGCTTAACACGTTTCAGGATGTCACTAGAAGCCTGACCTGTAGAACAGAAATAATAATTCTTCTTCACTGCTGCCCACTCTTAGAGCATATAAAGTGACTGCAGTCACAGCTGGGCCTGAAGTGAGAGAGAGATCATTTTCCATGGGTCACAAACTCACACTCATGCCCACATGAGTGGGCAAGAGCCAGCCCTGCAGAGAAGGATGGATGGCCCACCTCTAGCACTTCTTTTTTGACATCTAGATTGCATATAGTGTTTGCAAAACATCTAGACTGCATACAGTAGATTGCAAAAGCAGTGTGGCCAGCAGGTCTAGGGAAGTGATTGTCCCCCTGTGCTCGGCTCTGGTGAGGCCGCACCTTGAGTACTGTGTTCAGTTTTGGGCCCCTCACTACAAGAAGGACATCAAGGTACTCAAGAGAGTCCAGAGAAGGGCGACAAAGCTGGTGAGGGGCCTGGAGAACAAGTCCTATGAGGAGTGGCTGAGGGAGATGGGATTGTTCAGCCTGGAGAAGAGGAGGCTCAGGGGCAACCTTATCGCTCTTTATAAGTACATTAAAGGAGGCTGTAGCAAGGTGGGGGTTGGTCTATTCTCCCACGTGCCTGGTGACAGGATGAAGGGGAATGGGCTAAAGTTGCACCAGGAGAGGTTTAGGTTGGGTATTAGGAAGAACTTCTTTACCGAAAGGGTTGTTAGACATTGGAACAGGCTGCCCAGGGAAGTGGTGGAGTCACCATCCCTGGAGGCCTTTAAAAGACATTTAGATTTAGAGCTTAGGGATATGGTTTAGTGTAGGACTTGTTAGTGTTAGGTCAGAGGTTGGACTAGGTGATCTTGGAGGTCTCTTCCAACCTAGATGATTCTGTGATTCTGTGATACAGGTACTTCTTTTTGTGAAAAGATTTCCAAGGTTGTTGTCATTATCTTCCACCTCCTTTCTCTTTCTCACTTTTTTTTTTCTAAATATAATTCACATTAGGTAGCTCATAAGGGTTTTTTTATTTGGTTCTACTCATGCTGTTGTTCGTGTCATTCTCAAGTTATATGAAGACAATGTTCATGAGGAAATGAAAAATCTGTTGGTAAGGCAGGACAAGCAAGTCTGGTTGACTGACTGTGTGCTACAACACCAAAAGATGTAGATGTTCTTTGTTAGAGCTAGCATAACCTGAGAAGTAAAAAAATTAATTAATTAACACATAAAACCTATCTATAACACATTTTACTGTTACAATTAACACATAAAACCTGACTTCTCAAGTACTACCCAAACAAATTGCACCTTTCATGCAGTAGTGCATAAAAACAGCATTTCTGCAAGAATTTACTTCTAAATAGTAAATGTGTTCTGTCTTGACATAGAAAAGGAAGAAAGATATTCCTATTTTAAAATCTGATAGTCAAAAACTAACAGAAGTTCCAACCCAAAATCTGATGTATTTCCTCAGGTTAAATGGAAAACTTTTATTTCAGTAAGTCATTGCATTGAAACCCAGGGA